GTTGTATAATGTGGAAGTTAAAGGTATGACAATAGCATAAAAAATGGAAAGGTATGGGAAGGACATAAGAAACCTTACTAAGGCCATATTTTTTTTTATTTATTTGTTTATTTATTTATTTATTTATTTAGACAGAGTATCGCTTTGTTGCCCAGGCAGGAGTGTGGTGGCACAATCCCTGCTCACTGCAACCTTTGCCTCCTGGGTTCAGCGATTCTGCCTCAGCCTCCCAAGTAGCTAGGATTTCAGGTGTGCACCACCACACCCAGCTAATTTTTGTATTTTTAGTAGAGATGAAGTTTCACCATGTTAGCCAGGCTGGTCTTGAACTCCTGATGTCAGGTGATGCACCTGACCTCAAGTGATCCACCTTCCTCAGCCTCCCAAAGTTCTGGGTTTGTAAGTGTGAGCTACCATGCCTAGCAGAAACCTTAGTAAGCTTCTTAAGCTGTACATGAAGTAGAATCGTCAAATTTACATCTAGAAAATTAAAACAATTTAAGTTCCCGCTTCAAATGTATGGTAGTGCCAATTTAACCTTATCCTTGTCCATGTGTGGTATTTGTTTAAAAACATGGCCACCCAGATGTTTTTAAAAACTTGATTACCCTAGACACCCAATCTTCACTGGGCTTGAAGGATACTTTATCTCTGAAGTCTTTGAAATTCTATCAGAATCTCTTTGCCTTATTAAATTTGGCTAAAATGTTAAATGCATACATTTATTTTTTTTCCTTTCCTCCTCTTCCTACCCCTTTCTTCATAAGCATAGTTTTCTTCAGTAATTTCTTTGGTATTACTTCAGCTTCATTTGTTCTAGAATGTGGACGTTTTGAAGACACATTCCATGTCTCTCTCATTCTCTATTTTATCATGGTTGTAGTATACTAGATGCTCCATGCTCAATAAATTTGTCAAAAAAAAAAAAAACTGTTTTCTTTCTATACATAGTATTGGTAAAGTTTATCTGCATATTTCTAACATTTTTTCTTTCATCTTGTTAATCTATTTTGTCCTTTTGATTTGAGTTAGATAATGAATTTACCGATTTTTTTGTTACTAATTTTTGTTTGGTTGTATTTCAACTGCTACTTACTGCTTGTATTGCTGTTTTAAATTTGGCAGATCATGCTTTTCACCTCTGAACATTTTTTCATCTCTGAAATCTTTCCTCAGATTATTCTGATTTCATTTTTACAGATGCAACATTCACCCAAATTCTTTTAAAATATTAAGCTCCTTGCATTTTATCATTTTTTCTTCAACTTATGCCAGATACTGTGAGACTGTCAAGGTTTTAAATCTCTTTTTCACCTCTAGGGCATGTAAACTTTAATATTAGTGAGTTTAAAACCCCTTAGGACTGGGAAATAAAAGAAAATGGAGTACCCATTTCTTCCTTCAATCCAGCCACCTAAAATCCAGCCACCTAAACACACAATTAAAATGTGGTATTGGTGCTTGACACAGTGGCTCACACCTGTCATCACAGTACTTTAGGAGGCTGAGACAGGCGGATGCCATGAGCCCAGAAGTTTGAGACCAGCCTGGGCAACATAGTGAAACCCCATCTCTACAAAAAATTAGCCATACACATGATGGTTTGTGCCTGTGGCCCCAACACTCGGGAGGCTGAGGTGGGAGGACTGCTTGAGCTCAGGAGGATGAGGTTGCAGTGAGCTGTAACTGTACTCCAGCCTGGGTGACAGAGCAAGACCCCATCTCAAAAAAAAAGGATCATGAAATTTTTATTAGTATAAAGTTAGGTCTAAGAGTTTTATTCGCAAAGATTACCATGTGGGAGTAATCTCTAGACATTTTTGACTTCCTGGCCTATTTTGTAAGACCCCCCCCAAAGGTGGAGAACTCGATCAGGAAAACAAGCAGAGCTTGAATACACACTGCCATTTTTGAGAGGACCACAAATTCATAACTTGAAAGAATTGGAGTTACTTCTTTCCTTAATTACACTTTGGAGTTTTGCCCTTGGGAGCGAGATAATGATTGTGAGTTCCTCTTCCCTGAGAGTCCAGTGTAATGCTGGACAGACACGGTAATAAGCACAGTCAGTGCGACAGAAATTGGTGGTTTGAAGGTAAAGTGAAGAGACTCATAATTCATGGTTGATGTTTTCCACTGAGGGGTCAGCATGGGTTTATGCAGAATGGAGGACATTTGAGATTTCATTTTGCAGTAATAGGTGACTGTAACCTGTGAAGGGTAAAAAAAAATTACAAAGCAACGCTTACGCTCAGGTTGGAAACGTTGCATTTGTACTGCTGCTAATTCTGTTTTTTTTCCTAGTAGTATTTCCTTCCCCTATAGAAGGGTGGAAAATGAAGCTAGTGTATTTACTCAAAAAAGGTGATTTGAAGGAAAAAGGGACTGAGCAAAGTAGTGCTTTATAATCTGCCCCAGTTTTCAAGACAAGACTATGCTAGAGACTCATTACTTTTCACATTATAATGTAAAATTAATCATTAAAACCTTAGTTAAAAATGAAGGTTTTTGCCAGGCGCGGTGGCTTATTTCTGGAATCCAAGCACTTTGGGTGACTGAGGCGGGTGGATCACTTGAGGTCCGGAGTTCAAGACCAGCCTGGTTACCCACAGGGTGAAACACCATCTCTACTAAAAATTAGCCCAGTGTCTTGGCTCATGCTTGTAATCCTAGCTATTTTTGAGGCCAAGGCGGGAGGATGACTTGAACCCAGGAGGCGGAGGTTGCAATGAACCGACATCATGCCACTGCACTTGAGCCTGGGAGACAGAGCAGGACTTCGTCTCAAAAACAGACAGACAAACCAAACATACATGGTATGTTTCAGCTCGTTGCACTTACTCTCCTTGTCAGAGCTCACACTGTCCCGTTTTTAGCCTGCAGGGCCACTTTTGCTTGGCTCTTGAGCCTTGTCACAGTGCGGTTTATGCTTAGTTTCCTTGTTGTCCAGTGTGATAAGATGTTCGTGGCTTATCTTGCGTATTTCCTGCCCAGCCACTTTTCCAAGATGAATGTGGACATTTAAAACAAAAAGTTTCAGTGCCCCAGTCGCACCCCAAACCAGCTTAATCAGAATCCCTGGTGGGGATAGGGCCCAGATACCGAGTCCCTAGGCTGCAGTGCAGTGGTAGGATCTCAGCTCACTGCAACCTCTGCCTCCTGGGTTCAAGTGGTTCTCCTGCCTCAGCCTCCTGAGTAGCTGGGACTACAGTCGTGAGCCACCACTCTCAGCTAATTTTTGTATTTTTAGTAGAAATGGGGTTTTGTCATATTGGCCAGGCTGGTCTCCAACTCCTGACCTCAAGTGATCTGCCCTCCTAGGCCTCCCAAAGTGCTGGTGTTACAGGTGTGAACCACCACACCCCACCACGATACAGTGTTTTTTAAGAAGCACACCTAGCCTTGGATGGAAAACCGCTTGAGGAGAGTATGCTGCCTTATCGGGCTCTGTAAACGCCTTATCTCTGCACAAGGCTGGAACTTTGAGTGGAGTCCTTGGCTAAAGGTTTGATTGCTACATGGTGACCTTTCTTCCCTCTCCTGCTTAAAGCTTGTTTCAGAATGTTGACCGGAATGCATCTGTGTTGAAAGCCAGGCTTGGTCTGTCATCCCAGGACTCCGTATCGGTCCCTTTCCTTGCCTGTATGTTGAGTTGGAGCTCATCTTCGTGCCTCTGGGAAATAAGCTGATAGCTTGCTTAGAGTCTCTCAGTACTTTCCCTTGCCATTAGAATGAACACGAAAATCTGCGGCCTGCAGTGTAGACTGTGTACAGCCTTCAGTGTAGACTGCTCAGGCCCCTTTTGGTTCCTGGAGTCTGCCATGCTTACCTCTACCACCAGGCCTCTGCACAGCTGCTGTCTGCTGGGAGGGCCTTGCCTTTCCCCATTACTTAGTTCTCCTCTACTCATCTTTCAGGTGCCGGCTTGACTGTCTTCCTCCGGGGGGCCTCCTCTGACCTTGGTACACCAGATCAGCCCCCCTGTGCTGACCTTGTCTCATTGGTAATAGTTCTCTACCTTTAGGACACATAGCAAGGCCCAGAAGTCACAGTTTTGCATTTGTTCATGTGATCATTTGATGCATGTCTCTCTCTGGAGCCTGACTCTTTGGGGCTTACCTCCTGTCTCCACCACTTTTAGCTGTGGGACCTTGAACAAATCATTTCATCTCTGGTCCCCAGTTTCTTTTAACTGCAAATCAGGGATGATATTATACTTTCACCTACCTTGTGAGGTGGGGATGAAGATTAAATAGGGTAATTTGTGTAAAGCACTTAGAGATACTTATTAATAGTAGAGAATCTTGGCAGGTATTACTGATGATTACTGCAGTGAACCACAAGTTTCATACAGGCAGGGGTCATTTCTGTTTGTTTAGATTTGTATGCAGGGTGCCTGGCATATGGATGGTGCTCAGGAAATATTTGTTGGATGAATGAAGGAAGTGGAGATAATAGTAATATGTTTATAGAATTCCATGAGGATATAAAATAATGCAAGTATATAAGTTCTGGGTAGCATGTCTAGCTCATAGTAAGTGGCCAATAAATGTTCAGTGCCTGAATAAGGAAAATGGTGACAATAGTAATACCAGCTTATGAGGTTGTCGTGGGGATCTAAGGTACCCTGTAGTACCTTGTAGAGTGCCTAGCACATAGTAGAGGCTCAGAAAATATTTGTTAAATGAATGAGTGAAGTGGGGATGATAACACCAGCTCCTAGGGTTGCTGCAGGGATAGAAGATAAGGCAGGTCGATAGCTTGTTGTGGTTGTGCCTGGTAGACACTCTGTTGAGTGAAACGACAGGAGCTGCTATGAGTTTCTTTCTCCTGGGGTTTAGGAGAGAATCCTATTGGGGTGTAGATTGGTGTGGAGCGGATACTGGTCCTCTTGAAGGATGAATGGGCAGCTGACCGCTCCTTGCCAAGCTTTGGCCTGGATGTAAAGTTGAACCGTTCCTTTTCCTCTTCCTCCCTAACCTGTTCTTTGTTTCCACTAGAATCCTTGTTGAGTCCAGCGCCTCCTTCCTGTCCAGGATCACCTTCTGGTGGATCACAGGGTAAGGCTGGGTCTCTGAGACCTTAGGGAGGTGGTGGGGAATGAATGAATCAATGAATGAACATGCTGAGCTCCCCGCTTGACTTCTCTCTCCTTGGCTCTTCTGCAGAGTTGTCTTGAATCTGCCTGTGCTGGCCATGTGGTCTCAGAGAAACCAACTCTGTCCCCCAAGTCTATCACCTTGAATGTGATGAACACATGAGCCATGAGCAGCTTAAATCTCTGCAGAAGGCTTGGTCTGGGACAGCCATACACTGGACTGCTCTTGCTTTAGCTTCAGATTTGGGATTTTATTTTTATATATTTTATTTCTTGCCTAGACATCATGTTCAACCTGACAGATTTGTGCTTTTTAAATATTTGGTATAGTTATTATTGACATTATTCCCCTCCTTAGAAAAATAATATATTTATTTTATTTTATTTTATTTTTTTGAAATGGAGTTTCGCTTGTTACCCAGGCTGGAGTACAGTGGCGCAATCTCGGCTCACCACAACCTCCGCCTCCTGGATTCAGGCAATTCTTCTGCCTCAGCCTCCTGAGTAGCTGGGATTACAGGCACGTGCCACCATGCCCGGCTAATATATTTTATTTCTTGCCTAGACATCATGTTCAACCTGACAGATTTGGGTTTTTTAAATATTCAGTATAGTTGTTATTGACATTGTTCTCTTCCCATCCCCTACTCCTTAGAAAAATACTGTCTCATCATAGGAAAAGTGGCTTAAAAAAACACATGTGCAGATCAGTAGTAAGGAAACATGCAGAAGCAACCATTGTCACCATTTTAGTATGTCTGCTTCTGGTCTTCTTTTCTTTTTGAGATGGAGTCTCACTCTGTCTCCCAGGCTGGAGTGCAGTGGCGCGATCTCAGCTCACTACAACCTCTGCCTCCTGGGTTCAAGTGATTCTCCTGCTTTGGTCTCCCAGGTAGCTAGGATTACAGGCATGCACCATCACTGCTGGCTAATTTTTGTATTTGTAGTAGAGATAGGGTTTTGCCATGTTGGCCAGGCTGGTCTTGAACTCCTGACCTCAGACCCATATTGGCCTCTGAAAGTGCTGGGATTACAGGTGTGAGTCACCGTGCCCAGCCACCTTTTGGTTTTCTTTTTGTACATCTTTTTCTGCCTATCGTCAACATCTTATTGGGGATTATTTGAAGAATCTTTCTTTCACCCTAATATGCATCATCTTTTTGTTTTTTGGAGACAGGCTTTTGCTCTGTCGCTGAGGCTGGAGTGCAGTGGGCACAATCATAGCTCACTGCAGTCTTGATCTACCGGGTTCAGGTGTTGCTCCTGTCTCAGCCTCCTGAGTAGCTGGGACTATAGGCCTGCTCCACTATGCCCAACAGATTTTTGTATTTTTTGCAGAGATGGGGTTTCACCGTGTTGCCCAGACTGGTCTCCAACTCCTGAGTGCAAGTGATTCTTCCACCTCAGCCTCCCAGAGTGCTGGGATTATAGGAATGAGCCACCATGCCTGGTCTCATTCTTCTCTTTATGAACTTTTTACAAACATCTTTTAAAAAGATTAGATGTTTAAAATTTCTTCAAATTACTATTAAAAAGCATCACTGGGACAGTTGATGTGATTTGTAAAGGACTGCAGGACACCAGATGCATGCTAATAACATTCATTCTTGTTTTGGAAAATTGTGCTCCAGTTTCATAAGAGCATGTCCTTGATTGTAAGGGATTACCCCTGGTATTTTGGAAGTAAAGATATGTAGAGCCTACATCTTAACTTGAGACAGTCTTGCTCTGTTGTCCTGGCTGGAGTGCAGTGGCGTGATCTGCAGCCTCTGCCTCCTGGGTTTAAGCAATTCTGTTGTCTCAACTTCCTGAGTAGCTGGGATTATAGGCATGCACCACGATGCCTGGCTAATTTTTGTATTTTTAGTAGAGATGGGTTTTCACCATGTTGGCTAGACTGGTCTCAAACTCCTGACCTCAGGTGATCCACCCACCTCAACCTCCCAAGGTACTGGGATTATAGGTGTAAGCCACTGTGCTAGGCCTTTAACTGTTTGAGTGGTTTAGAAAAAGATGGTGTGTGTGTATGTGTGTGTGTGTGTGAATGGATAGACAGAATGTTACTGTAAACTTGTCAACATGTTAATAGTGGTGAGTTGAGTGAATATTTAGCATGATTTGAGTATTTTTTCTGTAAGTTTGAAATTATTTTGAAACAAAATATGAAAGTATTTTAACTTTTTATTATAAAAGTGTTCAGTTGGCCGAGTGTGGTGACTCACACCTTTAATGTTACCACTTTGGGAGGCCGAGGTGGGTGGATTACCTGAGGTCAGGAGTTTGAGACCAGCCTGGGCAACACGGTGAAACCCTGTCTCTACTAAAATACCAAAAATTAGCCAGGTGTGGAGGTATGTGCCTGCAGTCCCAGACTTGGGACGCTGAGGCAGGACAATCCTTCGAACCCGGGAGGCAGAGTTTGCAGTGAGCCAAGAAAACGCTACTGCACTTTAACCTGGGTGACACAGTCACACCCTATCTCATAAATAAATAAATAAATAATGATTTATAAAAAATAATGAATTAGAACCATCTTGATATTTTCCTCCTAAATCATCTTTTTTCCCTAAATCTTTTGTATGCACCCCCCCAAAAGAAAGCCATTTTTCCTTTATGACCCAACAGAATGAGCTGTAATAGACTTGTAATATGTACAAATGTCTATCCACGTTCAGACATCCCCAGCTGCGTGGCTGCCTTCATTTGCAGCGGGCACTTGTGCTGGGGAGAGGGGCACAGCATTGGCATGCGTGTGGAGTGAGTGAGCCTCGTTCTCCTCCCCCCTCTCATTGACGCTCATTGCCTAACCCTCTTGTGTCTTGGCCTCAGGTTGATATCCCAGGCTACCACCAGCCCCTGGAGAGCAGTGGCCCCTGCTCCTTAAACAAGGAGGACACGCAGGAACAAGTCATGCCTGTTTCCGCAAAGAACTGGAAGAAGAAATGCGCCCAGTCTAGGAAGTAAGTGTGAGTTTCCTTATCCTCTAGGATGCCCCGGTTCCCTCCTTCCCGCCCTGTGGCCTGAATCCATGCTGTGTCCTTGGCAATGCTGCTTGTTACTAGTTTTCTGGTTCTCACTTCTCCTCTGGGCCTCAGTTTGTTTTTCTGCCAAATGGGGTAAAATCTCTTAATTCATTAAGGCAACTGAGTAGAAAAGAAGAGAGAAGCTGGGCATGGTGCCTCACGCCTGTAATCTTAGCACTTTGGGAGGCCAAGGCAGGTGAATCACAAGTTCAGGAGTTTGAGAACAGCCTGGCTAACATGGTGAAACCCCATCTGGACTAAAAATACAAAAATTAGCTGGGTGTGGTGGTACTTGCCTGTAATCCCAGCCAAGTGGGAAGCTGAGGCAGGAGAATTGCTTGAACGTGGGAACAAAAGGTGACAGTGAGCCTAGTTCGCACCACTGCACTCCAGCCTGGGGGGCAGAGTGAGACTCCATCTCCAAAAGGCAGATGTTAGTGATCTCCCTACTTCTACCACCTTTGGTTTTGAAAACCCAGTGCTTCATTGGTTTGTATGTAATAGTTTTATGTTCTCTTTTTTGTGTATGGCCTCTTAGACCTTCGGGCCATTTTGGATTGTGGTTTCTGCTGGCCTGAATATCAAATGCTTTTGTGACTCTGGAAGAGTTTGGAAGTTTTTGTTTTTGTTTTTAAGTTAGACATAGTGACCATACAGCCATCCACTCACTTCCCAGACATCCAGCCAAGAGAGCTGAGAACATATGTTTATAAAAGACTGGTACAGGAATGTTCTTGAGACGGAGTTTCGCTCTTGTTACCCAGGCAGGAATGTTCTTAGATACTTTGTGATAACCCGAACTGGAGGTAAGCCAGACAGCTGTTAGCAAGTGAACAAACAGATTTACCCATTACGTGCATCTGCACAACTGAATACTAAGTTATGTACAAGAAACGAACTATTGGCTGGGCACAGTAGTTCATGCTTGTAATCTCATAACTTTGGAAGGCCGAGGTAGGTGGATCGCCTGAAGTCAGGAGATTAAGACCGGCCTGGCTAAGATGGTGAAACCCCATCTCTACTAAAAATACAAAAATTAGCCAGGTATGGTGGTACACCCTTGTAATTCCAGCTACTTGGGAGGCTGAGGAATCACTTGAACCCAGGAGGCGGAGGTTGCAGTGAGCCGAGATGGCATCACTGCACTTCAGCCTGGGTGACAGAGCGACACTGTCTCAATTAGGATGGGCGTAGTGGCTTATGCCTGTAATCCTAGCACTTTGGGAGGCTGAGGTGAGTGGATCACCTGAGCTCAGGAGTTCAAGACCAGCCTGGGCAACATGGTGAAACCCCTGTCTCTACTAACAATACAAAAAATTAGCTGAGCATGGGAGCTTGCATCTGTAGTCGCAGCTACTTGGGAGACTGAGGCAGGAGAATCAGTTGAACCCGGGAGGCAGAGGCTGCAGTGAAGGGAGATCATGCCACTGTACTCCAGCCTGGGTGACAGAGTGAGAATTCGTCTATAAAAAAAAAGGCTGGGTACGGTGGCTCACACCTATAATCCCGACACTGATAATTTGGGAAGCTGAGGCAGGTGGATCACCTTAGGTTGGGAGTTCAAGACCAGCCTGACCAACATGGAGAAACCCCATCTCTACTAAAAATACAAAAAAAAATTTTGAGAAAAAAAGAGACTTCATCAAGGCACGCTGGTAAAGTCAAGGGACTAGGGTGTAAAAAGAATGTGATGTACAAGGCAGAATGCAGGGGCACTGGAGCTAGAAATGATCTTAGGGAACGCAGAGTCACAGAAGAGCAACAAGATGCCATTTCTCACTCAACTCCAATCCACCAGCAGCAGTCACCTGGAGGGCTGCTTGAATGTAACTCAGTGGGAAAGAATGTCATGGGTGACTATGGGTGTCTGCTGTGCACATGAGAAGTAAGGGAGGGGCCCAATATTTGACATGTTGGAGATCTAACCCGTTCATTTTCCATATGACAAAATCTACAGCCAAGGAGGTAAGCTAACCGGCTTCGGGGTCACACTGTGAACTGGCAGTAGAATGTGACAGGTGACCTGACTCTCAGAATAACATTTCTCTAAGCCAAGGGCTGGCCAAAAATGGACTCCATGTATGGCTCATGAGCTCAAAACGGATTTCATTTTTTACATTTTTTGAGACAAAGTCTTGCTCTCTTGCCCAGGCTGGAGTGCAGTGGTATGACCTTGGCTCAACACACTAAAAATACAAAAATTAGCCAGGTATGGTTGGTGCTAACCTCCACCTCCCAGGTTAAAATGATTCCCGTGCCTCAGCCTCCCAAGAAGCTAGGATGACCACCATGCTCCACCACGCCTGGCTAATTTGTTTTGTCGGGGACAGTGTCTCACTCTTTTGCCTAGTCAGGAGTGCAGTGACATGATCTTGGCTCGCTGCAACCTCCGCCTTTTGGGTTCAAGTGATCCTCCTGCCTCAGCCTTCTGAGTAGCTGTGACCACAGGTATGCACCACCACGCCCAACTAATTTTTTTGTTTTTAGTACAGACCGGGTTTCACCATGTTAGCTAGGCTGGCCTCAAACTCCTAGCCTGAAGCAACCTGCCCATCTCAGCCTCTCAAAGTGCTGAGATTACAGGAATGAGCCACAGCGCCCCGCTAGATTTCTTACTTTTAACAGTGAAAAAATCAACACAGTATTACATGACAGATGTAAACTCTGTAAAATTTAAATTTTAGTTTTTGTAAATACATTTTTACAGGAACACAGTCATACCCATCGATTTCCGTTTCATCTAAGGCTGCTTTTCCACTATGCTGGAAGAGACAGTTATTTGTTACAAAGACCGTATGGCCTGGAATGCTGAAACTTTCCAGAAAAAGTTTCTTTATTCCCACTTCCTTCCAGTGTCTCTTCAATTTTAATGTCCATACAGACCACCTAGAGGACTAGTTACAATTCAGATTGTTTCAGTTGATCGGGGTTGAGGCCTAAAATTCTACACTGTTAATAAGCACCAGGTGTTGTCATGGCTGCTGGTCCACAGACCACACTTTGAGTAGTGAGGATCAACTCCAGTGTGTCTCTACATGTTGACCTGAACCAGAAGCAGCAGCACCTGGGGATGTGTTAGGAATGCAGATACTCAGGCCCCACCCAGACCTACTAAACTGAAAATCTGAGTTTAGAGTAGAAAGCTGCATTTTATGCTAACAAGCTGTTGGCCAACACAGTGGCTCACGCCTGTAATCCCAGCACTTTGGGATGCCAAGGCAAGTGGATCACCTGAGGTCAGGAGTTTGAGACCAGCCTGGCCAATATGATAAAACACCATCTCTACTAAAAATATTTTTTAAGTTAGCCAGGTGTGATGTTGTACACCTGTAATCCAAGCTACCGAAAGTCTAAGGTGGAAGAATCGCTTAAACCCAGGAGACAGAGGATGCAGTTACCCAAGATCACGCCACGGCACTCCAGCCTGGGAGACAGAGTGAGACTCTGTCTCAATCAATCAACCAAATATATTAAGCTAGCCAGGTGATTCTGATGCAGGCTTGAATTTGGACACAATCTCTCCTGCAAGTCCAGACTCTGAGAGATTTAAGGTAAGAGGAAGAAAATTCAGTGTCAGCATGAACACGCTTTCACAAATGCTCAAAAGGCTAGAACTTCCTTAAACATTCCACCTGCTGAATTGTGCACATTTTATTCTCAAATTTGAAGGCTTTCATCTCTGAAGCCCATATTACAAAGAAATGTACTTTATTTTACAGTTCATAGTAAAATATTTAAGATAGAGCTTCTATAGATAGAGCTTCTGTAGATATGATGACTAAGCCAGTTGAAGAAATGTGAGCTGGGCGCGGTGGCTCAAGCCTGTAATCCCAGCACTTTGGGAGGCCGAGGCGGGTGGATAACAAGGTCAAGGGATCGAGACCATCCTGGTCAACATGGTGAAACCCCGTGTCTACTAAAAATACAAAAAATTAGCTGGGCATGGTGGTGTGTGCCTGTAATCCCAGCTACTCAGGAGGCTGAGGCAGGAGAATTGCCTGAACCCAGGAGGCGGAGGTTGCGGTGAGCCGAGATCGCGCCATTGCACTCCAGCTTGGGTAACAAGAGCGAAAACTCCCTCTCAAAAGAAATGTGAATGATTAATATGTTAACTAGAATTGCAAAATGTAATAAAATTAATTGATAAAAAAAAAGAAAACATTCCACCTGCAACTCAGCTAACATGAAACAGGTGGTAGTTTAACAGATAAGTTTCATATGTATAAAAATGTTCAACTCTGCTTCACAGAAACTTGCCAGAAAAATTTGTCAACTTGACCAAGAAGGAATAGTTGTAATTAGCACAACATTACAAGGGCATCCTTGTCTTGTGCTGGTTTTCAAAGGTAATGCTTCCAGTTTTTGCCCATACAGTATGTTACTGTCTGTGGCTTTGCCCTCTCTCACTCCTCCTTTCAATACTCAACGTAGTATTGAAAGTTCTGGTCACAGCAATCAGGCAAGAAAAAGAAATAAAGCATATTCAACTAGGAAAAGAGGAAATCAAATGGTCTCTTTGTAGATGACATGAGTGTATATTTAGAAGACTCTATCTTCTCAGCCCAAAATCTCCCTAAGCTGATAAGCAAATTCAGCAAAGTCTAAGAATTCACGATCAATGTGCAAAAGTCACAAGCATTCCTATATACCAATAACAGCCAGCCAAATCATGAGTGAACTCCCATTCACAATAGTTATAAAGAGAGTAAATATCTAGGAATACATCTAACAAGGGATGAGAGGATCTCGTGAAGGAGAACTACAAACCATTGCTCAAGGAAATAAGAGAGGACACAAACAGATGCGTGCTCATGGTTAGGAAGAATCGATTTTGTGAAAATGTCCTTACTGCCCAAAATAACTTATACATTCAATGCTACCCATCAAGCTACCACTGACTTTCTTCACAAAATTGGAAAAAACTACCTTAAACTTCATATGGAACCAAAAGATAGTCTGCATAGCCAAGACAATCCTAAGCAAAACAAACAAACAACAACAACAAAAAATAACAAAGCAAGAGCCATCATACTACCTGACTTCAAACTGCACTACAAGGCTACAGTAATCAAACAGCATGGTACTGATACCAAAACAGAGATACAGACCAATGGAATGAATAGAAGAGAGGCCTCAGAAGTAATGCCACACATCTACAGCCATGTGAT